GCTCTGTTCTGTTCCCCTGTCCCTGAGGACCATTTCCCAGGGAGTCATTCTGACTATCTCCTTGAAGAGCTGGAAATTTGCCCTCCTAAAATTTAGGGTTCTGACTATGCTCTTCGTTATTCCCATTTCCCTCAGTAGCGTTAGTTCCACCAGCGCGTGGTTGCTGCAGCCCAGGCTACCTCCGATCTTGACATCCCCAACGAGCTCACTCGCATTGGTGACCAGCAGGTCTAGTATCGCATCCCCTTGGGTAGGGGTGCTTATTACCTGGCTTAAGAAGTTGTCTTCAATGCATTCTAGGAACCTGCTGGATTGCCTACAGCTTGCCGTGTTGTTTTTCCAGCAGATGTCGGGGTAGTTGAAGTCCCCCAGTAGGACGAGAGCCTGCAAGCGCAAAGCCTCCTGGAGTTGGAGGAAGAACGCTTCGTCTATCAGCTCCTCTTGATCTGGCGGCCTGTAGTAGACACCGACCACTAGGTTCCCTTTGTTGCCTCTCTCTCTGATTCTTACCCATAAGCTTACATACCAAGGGCTATGATCATATTACTAAAACTTTAACGCATTTCATGCAATCTCCACTTAAATCAACTTACTCTGTCTCCCTAATTATTTAATACTGGCTTTAACATGAGCGTTCTTTTCTGACACATCTACGTTCACAAGTGTTTATCATTTTCCCGGGAACAACTACTCTTTAATTTTATCCAGTTTCTCTCCCACCTATCTATCAATTTCGCATTCTGGCATTGCCAAAACACTCTATTTATCCTAAGATGGCCTGGAAGACAATTCTGGTCTTGTCTGCTGATTACACCTTGGAAGAGTCAACATCAGCACACAGAAGAAAAAGAGGGGTGGATATCTGCCTCTTACTATACATGTACTCGACTGGCTCCCACCTTAAGCTACGATTACTTTCACGTGGCTTGCAATGATAGCATTCCAAACGTGGGATCCAGCTGCTGCCTTGCTAACATGGAGCCATCCTGATGCACTCTTTTCCTTAGTTAACTAAAGGGTATTATAACACTTGCCTGCAATTCACTGGTTTCACAATTCCAGAGCAAGGTGGATGCAAGACCCAAAACTGTGTTCACAGACTTTCACGGTGTTATGATTTGGCTGTGGCCGGTAACAAAAGTGCCACGCGGCCGCCCCTCCCCCTGCTGGGGTGCAGAGGAGAATGGAAAGAAACAGGCAGAAACTGGTGGGTCGGGATAAGGGCAGTTTAACAGAACAGCAAACAAAGGGAACAGCAACAACAACGATACAGATAAGGAGAAAACACAACACAAACCGCACGATCCAGAGAGCTGCTCTCCCGGACTGGAACGGCGCCCGCACTCCCGAGCTGCGAGTGAGTTCCCGCCCCCCAGCTCCCCCCCACCAGGAACCCAGCATGACGGCCCATGGTATGGAATACCCTGCTCTGTTTGGCCAGGTGGGGTCAGCCCCCCTGGCTGTGCCCCTTCCTGGATTCCGGTGAAAATCAACCCTGTCCTGGCCAAACCCAGGACATTATCCACCCCTTATTCCATACCATCTACGTCATGCCCAGGTCCCCCATTGTCCAGTTGATCACCACCACTTCTCCTGTCTCCAGATATCATTCCCTTAGTCTATGGATCATCACTCTAAAGTGTCCGTTGAGTTCATTTAATCCATGACTTCAGGCTCCATCTGTCGTTATGGTCTTCCGTGGCAGGGGAGGTGATGTGTGGTGATGGGCGGTCACTTGCTGCATCC